GTATATCAATTACTGAACACAGCAGCAACAATCCTTCCCTTTACTTCTTTCTTTTCTTACATTCTGTTGTCTTACATTCTATATCCCATATTTTTCCCAATTAGATTACTCTTTAACTCTAAGAATGTCTTAGAAAGAAACAAGTTTTACCCCCAGGAAGGATCTTTGTGCGCATATAATGCATAAAATATATTGTGCTTCAACGAAGGACTATCCAAATAGTGTTAATAGGAATATCACAAATTATGGCAATAATTTTGGAATAATTAAAAATCAATCAGTTAGCACTGCTCAAAATCTCCTGGCTCGCTGGAAGAAAGGAGGTGGACGTTGTCATTCCAATGAATGCGTGGATCCTTTCTGCAGTCACTGGGCCCTGGAGGAGCGTCTGGCTCCACGAAAAGCATCCATGAGCAGTGGCAGTCCCAAGCTTCTTCTTTTCTTTTAGAACTTTCCTATGATTTCCACACACACATGTCGCTGTTGTCCTTCAATTTTGCGTTGCATCAAACCTCTCCAAACATTTGCAGGTGCACAAACAGTGCGACGCCCAAAACCATCTATTAGGACACCCCGGACCCAGCTGCTGTGCCATCCACTATTTGTAGAGCTTAAGGACGATACAACTCAAAGTGGCATGGAGGAGTGGGCCAGGGCCACAAAGGGTTGCGTTTGCCGCTCATGTGGAGTAGTAGTGTGTGCTGTGTGCTTATAATTATTTAACTCTTTTGCATGGTATCCCTGACGAGCCACGCCCCGACCACCCCCCCGCACCACTCGTAACGCTTAGCCTCTACCGCTGCCATCCCCCCCCGCCCCAAACATGTAGCTAGCGCCAGATGAAGATTAATTGTAACACAGGAAACATTCATAACATTTTTCAAGCTTAATCTTGTAACGCAATTCCATCCGGGGATCCATCCACAGGGCAGCGAGAGGGAGACAGAGAGGGTAGGTAGCACGTGGAGTAAAACTAACTTATTAATAATAATAATTGTTTCGTGTGCATAGAGTCCTCATCTATTTACCCATGCCCCCATACCCCCCGTCCCTATCCCTATCCCTCTACCCCCACCCCACCCTTGAACATGTGTCACAAAAGGAAGATCCCTGCCAGGGCAAACAGAATGCTTGTGTGTTTTTGAAAAATGATTTTTAGCGGCTTATGTCGGGGGGTATGGGTATGGGTATATGGGCCTGGGAACACCAAAAACTAGTTTAACCATATTTAAAGCCCCCCCCCCCCCCCCCCCCCCCCCCCCCCCCCACTCTTAGGTAACCTCTATAACGCTGCTGGACAACGCCTTTTGCCATTTGACCAGAGAAGAACAGAAAGAGAGGATGAGAGACACACACAGTGCAGGTCGAGTCGAATATGGTATGCACTATTCAAAGTATAGGTAGTATAGGTAGGTACACATCTATTTTATTTGATATATTTTTGCAGATTTACCCCTTTGTTTATTGTTGCTTTGTTCTAGTATCTGATCTAATACCTCTCAGGGTCTATGGCTACCCTATAAAACCCTTAGAAAAACTACAATATTTCCATTTATTATATGACTTAGTTAGGTTTCGATTTAAGCATTAAAGCATTAAAAAATCCTATATTTAAGCTGAATGGAATGGAATATATATTATACTATCTTAAATTTGAGGCTATATATGTTTTTTATATAGTATGGTTATATTAAATAATATTATGAAATAATTTAAATATTCAAATAAAAATTAAACGGAAAAATTAAATTTTTTTTACAAAATTAAATGTTTTCTTCCTTTTGCATTTGGAAAATGATTTTTTTAAGACAATTTAATTTTAGATCAAGAAATACAGTTCCACTTTTTTCACCTAGAATTGTTAGGGGCAGGGCAGGGGGGATTAGCATAATAACCTCATTAAAAACGTGAATTAATTTAAAAAACGTATTATATTTAAATATGAAATATATATAAAAAAATACTTAAATCAAATCTTTTTTATGGCAATATTAATATATGTATGTTTAGAATTTCGATTCTATGAATCCAAGAGAAAATGTTCCAATTGCATGGCCTTTTTTTCCTGATTTGATTTTTTCTTTAACTTTTAAGTATCATAATATCATTTATGCACTCTCTTATATGGCAAGTCCCACACGGATTGTGGGATCTCAAATGGCAGGCCATAGTGTTTATACTTTAAAAATCGTCGTGGTCGTCGTCGTGTGGCGTTTGTTTCCATTTGTTGTTCCAACGACTTTTTACAACTGCTACCTGTTTAGGGTTTGTTGTTGCCTGAGATGGAATTCCATTTCGGGATCACTTAAGTGGCACCCGCTGATCCCTCGCTGAACCCGCGCGTGAACCCCAAGAGCGGAGACATTAATTTTATTGTTTTGACTGTGTGCGCCACCACACCACACCACACCACACCAACGATCAGAATCTTTTTCGTAGCATCTTGTGGTGGCATCTTGAGCTCTGTTTAGAGTTCTGTTCAGTCCAGTTATTGATAGTTCCGAATTAGGGTCAACTATGCGGTTAGCAGGGCGCTCTGTCCATCTGCAGGTAGCCGGCAGGTAGGTTTATCATCTGTTTTAATTACAATTACCACTCCTGGAGTGGTTCTGGAGCAGAGAAGGGCAGAGCAGAGCACTAGATAACCGAACAGGGGGCAGCGGGACTCTCTATAAATGCCGCTGCAGGTGTTTCCAGGCAGTTAGCAGGCGGAATAAATGATCGTCCCCCCCACACACACACATACAATCTCTACAATCTCCAAAGAGTTGCTTCCAGAGGTGGGAAATGGGAAGGCAAATCAAATTCAATATTTTCTCACATTGCAACACGCTGAGATGTATCTTCCGCTAATGGAATGGGCTTAATATATACCATATATCTTTAGATTTTCGTAATTTCAATACTTGTACTATGATAGATCATAGGAGATCGAAAGATGTAGGTGTCCTAAGAATTTCCGTGTTCCATTTCAAGGCCCCTAGTCCCCTAGATCAATTTTGGAATATATTATGAGTGCAAGATACCTTGTTGGAATGCTTTTAGAAATTATCCGATCTGATCCAGATTCCGCAACCGGATAAATATGGTCATTATATCTGATTGTGCGTTTTTAGTTTTCTCGAATTTGCAATATTGTGGACGCAACAGATTTTCGTCCTTTGTGGGGGCGGAAGGGGGTGGGGCGAAATTTTGACACAAAACGGTCAAGGTCCGATATCACTGTAGTGTGGATACCAAATTTGGTTGCTCTAGCTCTTATGGGTTCTGAGATCCTTGAACTCATATTTCGCAATTGGCAAAACCGACCATGAAACCTGTGTGTTAGAGAGAGACAGAGCGAGAAAGAATGAAATTGTTTTCTTTATATATCTGGCTATAATAATTATACGATCTGGTTCACATTTTGCACTCTAGAACATATAGTTAGTTTTCTCGTATCGTCGAAATTGTGGATGCCACAGATTTTCGCCCTTTGTGGGGGCGCAAGTGGGCGAGGCAAAGTTTTGAAATATACTTTTGCCAGTGACATAACACAGAAGTCCGGATATAAGACGTCGTTGCTCTACCTCTTATAGTCTTTGAGCACTAGGCGCTAATAGGGACGGACATACGTACGGACGGAGAGACGGACAGACGGACAGACAGACAGGGCTCAATCGACTCGGCTATTGATGCTGATCAAGAATATATATACTTTATGGGGTCGGAAACGATTCCTTCTGGACGTTAAACACATCCATTTTCACCACAAATCTAATATACCCCAATACTCATTTTGAGTATCGGGTATAAAACGTGACGATCATTCAGATTCCTATGCAATGTTTAGCCTCAAGATCTTTCATATATCTGTGGAGACTATTTTTCTGATTGGTCTCTTAACGCACCAATAAAGATATTCAGAGATCCCTCTTATATACTCCTCAAAAATCGATACAGAAAAAATGACAAGTGAATACAAATCTTAAGCCTTTTCGAAAGATTCCAAAATACATTTTTGGTTTTTTTTGTTGTATTTTATTTTTCTTTTGTTTGTTTTTTGTATTTTTGTTTGTTGTATTATTAATCACTTCTTAGATATTAGTTTTAAGTTTTTAGTTGATTCTCGTTTGGTTTTGCTCATCATTATACATGTACTAGAAAATATGAGTGGTTTTTTTTTGTGTTTTTTTTTTGGTTTTATTTCACACTTGGTGTATATGTATATATAGTGTATATATATGGTATAGGTGTATATAACGCATGCGTTTGTATATCCATTACACGAGTTATATATCAGTATCTGGTTTCGATTCTATACATTGTTTCTTGATCTATAGTTTTTCAGCTCTTCTTAAACATAGTACATCTATGTGTCATATGTGGGGGGTGTTTTTTTGTTTGTTTGTGGGCAGAGGGTTCTGTTCTGTACGGCTTTGTTCTGGGGAAAGGGCACATAACATGGGGATCAAACGAAGAAACTCTAACAAAGACGAACCATACAAAAAGATACGTTTTATATATAAATATATACATATATGTATATATGGGTGTAAGGAATACATGTATATAAATCTGTATGTCTAGGGTATAGGCAAAAGGTATATAGGTTCAATGCATATATCGCATATAGAAGTGTATATATTTATATCGATTTTTTTTTATCGCCAATTTACGAGTATTGTTTTTTTGTTTTTTTTTCGATCGTGTCTCTCTAACAATCTAGGTCTCTAAGTGTCTGTCTGTGAATGGAGATAACTTGATTCCCGTACATCGTATATATATGTTTTTTCGTCCGGGGGCAATGAGTACATATGTGTGTATGAAGAAGACCAAGTTACCATTAATAAGTCATTTGCTTTTTGGGCCTTTTAAATTAATTTCTTTTTTTTTCTGTTTAGAACAACGATTTTCAACATTTTCAATATTAGTTTTTCTTTTCTTTTCGGTTTTTTATTTGCATTTATTTTTTTTTTTTTGTTAGTTTGCTGGATTTTGGATTTGGAAGAGTTCCAGCTCCACAACGTATCCCCCACCCCCCACTCGTACACCCCTGCAACAAAAGCCACAGCAGATTTCAGAGTTTGTTGTTGCCTCTTTTTACGTACTCTTTGGTTGCGATTGCTTTTCCTTTTTGTCATACACATTATTGTTGATGCCATTAATAGGGATAGAGATTCTTGCGCTTCAGCTCCATGTCGAGGTCGGCCAACTGCTGCAGGAAGCCATCATTGGGCCGAATGTCGCGACGCATTCGAACGGTGCGTATCGCATCCACCGCCGACATCTTGCGGCAGATCATCAGGTAGGCCAGCACACAGGTGGCCGAGCGGGACATCCCAACCAGGCAGTGTACCAGGATTTTGCCTATCAAAAAACACATTAATTAATCATTAATTAAATATATGTATATTTAGAAGTAGAGTGGGATGGCAAATGCACAACTATTTCAGTTCTCTTTACAGATCTATGCTTTCGTTTTCGCGGATCGAATCGGATCGGATCGGATCGGATCAGCTGTTCGCAGCTGTTTTTCTTTAATTCCAATATACCAGAGCAATTCAAATGCCTTTTGTAAATTAAAAGCAAGCTCTTTAAACATAATTTGTTCAAAGATCTATGGAGGATGTATTCTGCTACCTTTTCATATGGTTATCTCTATACTTTCTTAGACCCTAATCTTCTTTAAAGTGGCTTCTTCTAGCACCGACCAACCGAGATGCGCTGCTGTACATTGCATTCCCATCTCGACCATCATCCGTACTCACCTCCGCTGCTGATGGCGCTGTCTATGAATTTGGAAGCCACATAGAAGTAACGCGAGATGTCTGTCGTGGGGGCATCGATCATCGGGAATCCCATGTACCTAAAAACACAGTCCTTATGGTTCCGTCTGTGGTACACACAACACACACCACACACCACACATACACCCCCCACACAACACAAAACAGCAACAACAAAGATATGAGGCCAAAATCAAAATGAGATGGCAAATGGAGATACATGGATGGACGGAAGGGTTGATATTCGAGAGCGGAGAAGAAAGAAAAGAATACATTTTTGAGATGTGTGAAGAAAGTGAAGAAAGTCAAATCAAAAACGATTAAAACAAAACAAAAAAAAAAAAACCAAACAAAATATGAACAAATTTTGGATTGGAAAACGTGGTTCCATTGTTCATGTTGTTGCCTTTTGTTGGATAGGGTGGAAGAGGCATCAGAGCTCACCTAATGCTGGGCATATCCCGGTAGTAGCTGTGTCCTGTGTCCACCTGGCCATAGCGACAGCCCTCGGCGGCATTCAGGACATGCGTGATGCCCATCATTCTCAGATACGTCTTGTTCTTGGCCGCCGCCCTGTGCAAAGAATAAACAAAAGGCCTCTAGTTATTGGTGGAACATCACAGGAAGAATGCACTACAAGACTTACGCATCGCCAATGTAGATCCCCGGATAGACCTCATCGCAGTCGACATCGTGGATGGCGCACTCGGCCCGCCTCAGGCCGGGCAGTGCCCGTGTGGGTGCCATTGAGTAGTGCAGGACTCGCTGCAGCTGTCGGCCTGTGGTCTGTTCGGAGGTCTCCAAGCGGCTGGGCGACTGCAAAGATGCAAAGATGCAAAGACCCGCAATACAGAGCACATTAATATCAATCAGGAAACGATTTGGGCTCTTCATGCTTCAAGATACAATTAACAGGTTTCATTTAAGCTTCGTTTTAGTACAAATGGTAAGCATAGCACATAATCCTTTCGCTTATGGGAAATTTCATTTAAATGTCCCCTAGCGGAAGTAATTAACAATCAGAATTTCTTTATACACTTCAACCAACTCAGAAGCTGGACTCGCATAAATTGTGACCAAATAGAGATATGCGAAAGAAAGTGTGACCAAGGCCAGGAATGCAAAAGAAAGTGTGACCAAATCAAAGGAATGCAGAGGAAAGTGTGACCAAATCGTAGGAATGCCAGAAGAATGACCAGAAGAATGCATCACCAAATCCTCAAAAGTAGGAGAAAAAAAAAGCACCAAAAGTCACGAGAAGTTCTGAAAAAACTGTGACCAAATCTAGGAATGCAGAAGAAAGTGTGACCAAGGCCAGGAATGCAAAAGAAAGTGTGACCAAATCGTAGGAATGCAGAAGAATGCATCACCAAATCCTCAAAAGTAGGAGAAAAAAAGCACCAAAAGTCACGAGAAGTTCTGAAAAAACTGTGACCAAATCTAGGAATGCAGAAGAAAGTGTGACCAAGTCCAGGAATGCTGAGAAAGTGTGACCAAATCGTAGGAATGCAGAAGAATGCATCACCAAATCCTCGAAAGTAGGAGAAAAAATCACCAAAAATCACGAGAAGTTCTGAAAAAAGTGTGATCAAATCTAGGAATGCAGAAGAAAGTGTCACCAAGTCCAGGAATGCTGAGAAAGTGTGACCAAATCGTAGGAATGCAGAAGAATGCATCACCAAATCCTCGAAAGTAGGAGAAAAAAGCACCAAGAGTCACGAGAAGTTCTGAAAAAAGTGTGATCAAATCTAGGAATGCAGAAGAAAGTGTCACCAATCCATGAATGAAGAAAAAAGTGTGACCAAGGCCATGGAAATGACAAAACACACAAAAGTTTCACCAACGCAGTCTTCACTTAAAAATAGTCGTAACGTTTTTGTCGAGGCACAACCCCTCGAGGCACTCTCTTTTCTGTACGATTGAAGGCTTTAGTAGCAGGAGCGACCTCTTCTCTTCAGTGGGAAACAGTCCTTAAACAAACGGCCCTGCTCCGACCATGAAGAAAGCTCTGCCAAAAGTAAACAGAGCTTTTCGTCTTCAGACCTTCAGACCTTCAGACCTTCGGCCCTGCTCCAGACCTCAACTTCAGTGCTACTAGTCAGTGCTGCCATCCAGTGTAATTAGATTTTGTGGACATTGTGGCAGGATTATAAGTTTCGCCCCCAGCACACCAACAGCCGCCTGCCCATGACATCACAATCCCAGCGACAATTGCCAAAACGAAAAGCGGAAAAAATGAAATACCAGTAAAATGCTTGGGCAGCAGATTTATGGCAAAGGCGAAGGTCGCAATTTCGGGTTGACAAATCAGACGCGGGGGCCAGGGCAGAGGGCGAGGTCAGGGGCTTTTACTTGCTGTGTTGTTTGGCATTTCTCAGGGTCATGCCGTGAAAGTGAAAACTTGTACACCGTAATTCCCCCAGAATGCGAATGCCTATACAAATACGAGAGTATTTCTTTCAATCACTTTCCGATTTGATTTAATTTTCTCTCTCGTTTTGGCTGCTTGTTGTCGTTCCCGGCTATCGACTGTCTCCCAATTGTCATAATACAATCATATGGGCGCCCACGTTTCGTGAAAACTTTTGCTTTCTCTGGCGGCATGCGACCCTGAAAAAACAAAAACCCCCCCCAAAACAAGAAACGAAAATCGTATAAGAATTTAAGGCATCTGTCGCCAGCAAAAGTTCTTTAACATTTTGCCCATCTGATCTATTGTGACGGATCTATCTGTCGTCTGCTTCATACACATACACAGGGTATATGCTGTATATTTTTATTTTCTATATATTCATGTGGGTTAATTGTTCTAAATCCGTTGTCAACCGAAAAAAAATGAAGAGAAAATGCGTGTGTTGAGAATTATTTATAGCCTTCAGTTTCAGCCCCGATCGGAGTGTTAGACCAGCGCATATATAGGCTATAGAACTATCGTAAGTGTTAGTACAGCTCTGAAGATTTTAGCTCTTTTTTATGTTAGGATTAAAATGCAGCACAGACAACATATATCAAGGCACAAGGCACAATACAATCGATCGATATCGATACCCTTCATGCACAACAAACCTGATAATAGTGCGGACTATATCTATCGCCGATACTGCTGCTGTATCTGTCCGTGGAAAGCTGAAAACAAATCGATATTCAAACGACAAGAAATTTAATATTATGAAAATAAGAAAAACTTAAAAATAAAAATACAACTAAATCGAATTTTGAATGGCTGTCCTATCATGAAAACCATGCTCTACAGGCCAAATTTATATTTAAGAATCAATTGATCAAGTGATAAGTTCCGTTCAAGGCCAAGGCAACTATTTTGATCGCAAGTAATCTAATATCGAAAATATCTGCTGAGAATCACATACGGATCTATGTATAGATCGACAAGCCATAGACTATCGTTCAGGTAGAAACGGAAATAGAGAATATAGAGAATAGAATAGTAAAAGCTTTTGCTGGGGCGGCAGGTGAGACATCGCCCCCAAGTTCTGTGTCTCTTGGCGGCAAGGCGACGACGCCTTGACCTTGTCCCCCATTGGTTTGCTTTGCTCTTTTGATGTCTATCTGTATGGTGGCAGTACGAGTGCGAGTATGTACCCCCAGCAGATAGATTACTCTCCCAAAAATCACACACACATCTCTCTGTCAGTGGCTTTCTCTGGATCTATAAATACCGCAGAGAATAAATTACTCTGTGAACAGAAAAGCACACACAAATGAGAAAATTATTCAAGAAAATGTATTGGAAATACTTGAAGCCCACAAAATATTTGTTGTTTATTTTTTTTTTGTATGACTCATCAAGCCCCCTCCCCCCTCCCCAACGGGAAACCACAACCCGCATGACAAGACAATTAGCTGGACACGACAGATATCCCCATACAAAAAGCTCTAATCTGAACAAAACGAGGGACAAAAAAACATGATTGAATATTTGGTCATCATCGGAGAGCATCGCAATGGCCAGCATATATATAATATATACATACATGCATCAAATGTATACCATAGAACGATATCTCTATAGCCCCATTCCCCATGGATGACTCGAGTGTATGACTGACAGAGTGACTGACTGACTGACTGACTGACTGATTCGTATGCTAGAGCAAAATGCCAATGTAAACGGTTCTCGTGTATCTTATTATAGAAGCCACAGCAAAAACAAAACATTCAGCGCCGACTCTCACCTGAAAGGTATGCCATACACACGCAAAAAAAAATAAAATACACTAATGCTCTCTCAATGAGAAATAATTGCACATAGCCTAAGTCTTTTACTGGGTATATTTTGTGAGGAGAATGCTTTCCTCAGAAATTCAATGGTTATCTCAGTATTGTTTCCATATACAACAGAATACTACCAGATCAGATGGGATTGGATTATTTTAGCCAGAAAGTACACTTGTAATGGCAGGGGCTACTCGACCCCCAGGTCAAGCGCTTATTCTCTCTCTTCCCACACACTTTTCCTCGTGCAGTGTGCATGCTCTGGCGGAGGAGAGCGAGATAAAACGGCTGGTGTTGGTGTGAGAATGGAGAAAAAACCATGGATGTAAACTACAAAATGTAAAGAAAAATGGAAAAAGATAAAATCGAATATAGAAAAATCTTCTAAACGGTTTGACCGATGTTTATGCAATTTTGTTTAGGCAAATAATTAGTTCGTCCCCAAACGACAAATAAAATATATTGTATAAATTACATAAATCATACAAATCACAAGAAAATAAAGAATGATCCAACAAAAAGAAATCAGATACGGACACAGAAAACCGTGAAGATTTCTAGAAAAGAAAGATCTGCGACAAGAAGTCCTACATTAATAGCCACTCAAAAATTTGTATATCTTATATATCGAAATTGTAGCCCCAAGTTGTAGAGGTTCCAAAGGGTGGGTCCAAGGTGCCCGTCCAAGGCTTAACCCATATCTAAACGATTTGCCATACGATTTGTTATACGACCCCACACACCCTCCATTTAGTAATGCGATTGCGGTTGTCTAGTCTTCCGTTCCGTTTGCCATCCTCTACCGTGACACAGTTCTTCTGCTGTTGGTTTTGTCATTTCATTTTATTTGTTTTTTGCATTTAGTTTGTGGCACTTCCTGCCACTTCCTGACAGCGAGAAGCAGCAAAAGCGAAAGCGAAAGCGAAACAGCCAGCCCCTCCCAGAGGTCAAGCATTGGGCCCAGCCACAATCAGTGAGCGGATGGTCGAATGGTTGGATGGTGTAACCTGCAACACGTAACCTGCGCTGTGCTGCAACATGTGGAGCGGATGTGGGTCATGCGATTGTGGATTGTGCGGCTGATTGGGTCGGTGTCTGTGTGTCTGTGTGTGTGTGTGTGTGTGTGTGCTCAGTAGGTGGTCGAGGACATCAGATATAATCAAAATCTGATTATGACATCATCAAGATGACTGCATTATGGATATTCTCTTTGGCGAACAAATTGCCATGCCCTCTGGTTGAACTGGTTCTCTGTGTGGCCTGTCTTTAAGGATAAATCTGCCAGGGGACACACTATATTTCAACTGTTTAAAGAAAGCAGACCATGATTTTCGGATCATTTTTCTGTCTGCCGCCCAAACATTTCATTACACCAGATGGTCGTATTTTCTTTTATAATATTTAAGGCAATCCAAATCTATATTCGTTCGAAAAAAATTGTTGAGAATTAAGCTTAAAAATTTCCAGAAGTTCTAAGGAGTTTCGTGTGGAGTAATCAAAGGTTATCTTTCAAAAACTACTGACAAAAAAGTTATAATAAACATTTAAATCGTATATTCGTTGGAGCATCTGTGAAATTTGTATCGCAATTTACTTGCCTTTGGCATTGAAGAAACAAACAACAAAAATTCAACCAAAAATAGAAAAATATACAAAAAAAAAAAAACAGAAAAAAAATTGTTCAAGTGTGAAAGTTCTCAGCGTCCAAGTGTTGGAAAATCAAAAACAAAAATAAAAACAAAATAGCAAGAGCAACAATTAATGTATGAACCAAATGAAAATTAACAAATTTACGAGCACATTTTTGGCATTGATAAATCTGACAAATCCATATATATCTGTCTGTCTCTGCAGAACATATCTATAAGATATAAGCAAAGTTTTTTTTTTTTTGTGTTTTTTTTTTTTTTTGGGTCACTCGACAAATGCAAATTGCATTGACATGCAAGCGGAGGCATGGGCTCCTGCAGATTTTTATTGATTAAACAGTCAACGAGCACAATCCTTTGCCTACGAAAAAAGTATATCAAATTCCGAGACAATTATTAAAAAGAAAAAAAACAAAAACAACCGAGAGAGAGAGCGAGAGACATTCCTGAGGCGATTTCCCAATGTGGGGGAAAAAAAAAAAACAACTTTGGCAACGGCAAGCGGAATGAAAAATTCGGATTGCCTCGTCTTTTAATTCATTTGCAAAAATTGCAAAAATGGCAACAACAAAGTTTTCAATTTAATGCGCATTCATTCCTGTGCTTCTTAATTGGCCTTTTAAGGTGTGCAAAATGCAATGACTGATGTTACTTCGTACTCGGGATGAATGCTCATCAGAACCCTCATCATCATCAGTCGAACGGCCGAACGAACGACAATTTATGCAAATGAAATGCAAATCAGGCGATGGGGACTGAAGGTTATGAATAGGGCGCACATCCACATCCAGCACTGCTTTAAGGTAATCGAGCTCCCACAACTGGTAATGTGAGAAGATACTCATTAAAAATGGCTCATTAAAGCACACACACACACACAAATCAGAAAAGGCAATATTACAAGTATTTGTGTAAGGATAGTCTTTACACTTTTCTATGAAGAGAAATTTATAGATATATATTGTAAGCCACTGCCACATACATATGTTGATCTCTACACTTTCTTCCCTGGATCCATGGTTACCCCTTGAGCCAGGGCTCTTCCCTTCATCGTCTAACGCTCAGAAAGATCTTACTAGATTTGACCTTGAAACTGAATACTCACTCGTACTTTCCCACTGTGTTAATACACTTTTGGGTCGAGTTTTTCCGCTCGAACCAAATGGGGAAACGCTTTCAAGTGGCCGCCAGCCAGCCAGCCAGCCAGCCAGCCAGCCATCGGCTGCGTCTGTCTTCAAGCCAGAGCCACCGTTTAGAATCGCGCTCATTGCCTTTCGCTTTTTTGCTCAATCAGGCGCAACAGCTGCTACAGCGACACGCCCACAGCTATAGCCACAGATACAATATCTATGTATCTACGAGCACAGTGTAGAGTGTAGTACGTATATTGTTGAGGAAACTGAAAATGTGTACAATGCTCTATCGATTGTTCAATTAGCGCTCTCGATGGGCTTGACACTGAGCCAAAACAGTGAAACAGCAGCAGCAAAATAAAAAAAAACACAGTTGATGACATTGACATTTTAGCTAAGCTTTTTGGTTCATACAATATATGTATATATATATATGGTGTACTTTACAATCGACATTACACGGAAGCACCCCCGACCGGCAATTAATTTGAGGCAAGGCAAGGCGGGGCGGGGCGGAGGAAGGAGAGCATCAAATTAATACGCTTCAGTGAATGGCTATGCCTTTGTGTTTGGGCTTAGGTCTGGGTTTAATTAATTTTGTATTATTCTTTTATTTTTGCATAAGACTTTGAGATTTTGAATAGGAGATGTGGCACCTCCCCCCCCCCCCCCCATCAAAATATTAAGTTAATTGGCCCACGCGGCGTATGAGTAATCAGCTTTTGGGGACAGCGTCCGCCCATACGAAAGTCAATCGAATCCCGTGCAGCGTCCCCCACCACCCCCACAAATTTGGCGCCTAATTCAAATATTTACTTTGATATCCATGATATGTTTTGTATGAATGAAGAAGGGATGCAATTTTTCTGTTAAAGGAGGATTTTTGTGACCCACAAAGTATCGGAAGCCATTGAAATATATTCCCCATAAAAGGTCTTATCAAATGGATTCACTTGAACTAATTTCCATACCAAAAAGCAGAACCATTTCCCACAAAACGCCACAAACTGACCACAAAACGGAAATCCTATTAGGCAGAATTTTATACAGAAATTTGTGTATGAATTTATACTACTTTTATATGAAAAACCACCTACCATACATAACAAAAATGCAATCGACGGAATACTATAAGGAATAACATTAGTAGGATCGTAATCCATTAGATCTTTGAATGATAAAAAAAATTTTATGTGGAAAGTATGTAAGATCAGGCTTGCCCACTTATTTAAGGAAAAACCTCATTCGATCCATCCATTTCTTCTCATCTTCTTATGGTCTTTGATCTTTGGATTATAGCTAATTAGACGCCCTAAAAACAAGGCCTTAAATAAGACATTTAATTATTTTAGTAACCAATTGAAGAACATTTTATACACTCTTTGTGCAACCTGCAGCTTGGATGCCCGTCCCTTTTGGCCGGAAATTGGGGCGACGCCCAAATGCAAAGTAAATGCCAAGAAGATAATCTCCGGATAAATTCGAAAAGACACACAGGTATGTAGTTATTTAACGACCCACATGTTGGTGGGTTAGTGGGTTGATGGTTTGATGGGCTGGTGCTTTTTGGAGGCCGGGCCTCTGCCTGCCACGCCTTGAAAAGGCACTTGAACTTTGCATTTGCATTCGGAGGCCTTCAATGGGATGGGGGGAGGTGGGCATGAGAAAGGTTGATGGTGGATGGGGGATGGTTTGGCATGCCAAGGCCTCTCTCTCTCTCTCTCTCTCTCTCTCTATCTCTCGCTGTCCCCACAGAAAATAGTACAAATTGTATTTTCCCCATTGTTTTTTTTTTCGGTGGTTTATAGGTGAAGTGGGGGGTTGGCAGGCAAATTGGGTCAGCAGAGCAAACTACACACAACCACAGAGCGACACACAGAGACAGAGACAAAGAGAGAATGAGAGAGAGAGAGAGGGACAAAAGGAAGGTAAGTCAAGGTCATTCCGTTGGTCCATATCATCGTTCCATCACTTCAACATCATCAACAGCATCGTCCTTGTCATCAGCTGTTTTTGACAGATGCCCGGAAAATGAAGCCCGTGCCGTCGAAAAGTCTGCCTGTCCTTCCGCTCCTTCACTCCCCCACTCCCCCACTCCTCCACTCACTCATCCTTTGACAGTGCTCCGCCGCTCAGTCTGGTCTTCGCTGAGAACTCTACCATACCCACTCACTCGGGGGACACTTTAGCCTTCGTTCTGACTCTCATCTACTGCCTCCCTTACAAGGTTTATTAATACAAGGTGAGGCTGTATGAAATGCGGTGTCCTTGATTTAAGGACATTTTTGGAAGGTCATTCAGAGGAGATATATGTATTTTCTTGCAAGGCGAAAGAAGATCGAAATTTTGGGCTAAAACTCAAAAGTTCATGGGGCAAGTTCTTTCAGAGAGCGTATATTCGTGCCCTTTTCTATATATTTATGACTTGTTTCTTTGCTTTTTTTTTTGGTATATGTGATTTGGGTCCATTGGAATCCTAGGTACTACCTAACTCTATTATATCTCTCCCCTAGAATGTAAATAGAAATATCATGTGTGCACGAACATGTATATTGTTTTCTTTGGAATTTGGCAAAAGCCCCACCTTAAATGAAATGCCCCTTGATCCTACTCGCTTGTTAGGGAAACGCTTCTCGTTTTGGCTACTCTTCCCGCTCCCCCGCTCTCCCACTCGTCTGTGGCTATTCTTCCTGCTCTGCCACTCTCGTATGTGCACTCTCCCACACACCCCTGTGTTCCCGCTCTGTCCCTCTCCCGCAGTTATGCTACCATTGCAGCGTTTGCTCTCCTGCTCTCCTGCTCTCCCACTGATTTGTTACACTTCTTAGAGCATTCTTGCCCTTAGGACTTCTGGGTTCCTAGGTGCCCAGCCCATTCATTTGTTAGTCTTTCCATTCCCATTCCCATTCCCCCATTCCGTTATGATTGCTCTTTCTCCCACTTTTTTTTTAGCTTTTTTTTGTTGTTGCTTAGTTACTCCTTTGCATGGGAATGGGAGCCGAGCCGCCTTCTTGCCACTCTTTCCGCTATGCTCTATCCCTTTCCTCTTCTCTCTTTCCACTTTCCACTTACCGCATATCTCCATGACATCTTTGTTGAGTGTGTGGTGGGTGGGTGTGTGTGTGTGTGTGTGGGTGGTGTGTCCTGCTATCCAGCTACTGCTCCTCTAGTGTGCGCCCAGCCCTCCTCTTGCCTCTTGCCTCGTGCCTTGTGCCTCTCTTCCTGTTCCTTGTTCCTGTCACCGTTCCACTCGCTTCGTCTCGGGGGCAGGGGCGGGCGTCGGATTGGTGTGTGTGTCGTGTGTGCGGCGGGGATTTGGCGTCTCGCGCGTTGCCTTTTGGTTGGAAAGTTAATTCGTTTAAATAATAGGATCAAAGAGCAAACAAACAACAACAACAGTAGTCAAATGACGTCGCCGAAGGGGATTTCGAGAAAGGGTGGAGAAGGACAAAGGAGGAGGAGAAGAAGACGAAGAAGAGGCTCGCCAACAACAACATCACTCTCTCACAATCACACGCAAAAAAAAACATGTATATTGTGCATCTATATATTAGAGAAGCACAGCAACAAAATCTTACTTTTTTTTTTTGCAAAATAAATAAATTTGTTGAATTTTGTAAAAAAAATTTTAATTAAATTATTTAAATATTTAATTTATATTTAATTGCGATTTGATTTTGGACTTTTTGATTTTTCAGTTTTGACTGCTGCTTTTTTTTTTTGCTGGCGTTCTGGCGACGGAAACTTTTTTGCGACTGATTCGCGATGCCGCTTTGGGGTTGTTTTGTAGGCGTCCGAAAGCTCTTTTCGCCTGCCATAGGGGACTGTGACGTAGGCGGCAAAAGCTCACGCTCGCGCTCTGACTTTGGCCGGAAAGGTACATTCCCCATAGAGGTAGGGCCGAGAGTCACGGTCTGCAGCATCCGCTCAGAGGTACCCTATCGCCTTACCTTTCGCTATTGAAATCGGTTTCTGCCTCTCTTGGAGGCGCGCACGTGGCGAGCGCTGGTTTCTCTGTGGGGGGAATGTGGGTGTTGCCGCACACACACACACACTGGCACTCAGTGCCACCCACTTACGCATGTGTAAATATTTGTATATTTACATTCGTATTTGCTACTCATTCATTTACATATTCAGTCGTTTAAGCCAAAATAGAGAGAGCTAAAGCTTTTGCGGAAAAGTTCTGGGGAGCCCAGCAAGCGATTATCGGCGAATCACACGTACCCTTCTTTTCTGAATAGTAAAAAAAAAAAGATGTAAGTACTAACTTTCGATAGGCCCCATGGAGGCAGAGGTGTGTCTACCAATAATTTCCCAACAAATTTCCCTCTTTGAAAACTAATTCCTGTACTAGATACCCAATACGCATAGAGACAGAAGCATCGCTCAGAGTCTTTGTGGGTCGAAAAAAACGTTCCAGAAGTTTACTGAGGGTCTTAAGGCTATACTATTAAAGTTTTATTACTAAAACCTTCACTATGTAAAATAAAGAGCATAAAAATTGTGTATCAATCTAAAAGAAAGAACCTAAGCAGATTGGGGGAAATTCTTGATCAAAGTATTAACAAAATAACCATAATATCATGCACTCCCTAAAAATATTGTGCTGTGGTATGGCCTATTGATTTAGGACCAACCTATGGATAAAGGTTTTCAGAAAAATGTAATCCTACATGGATCCACGACTAACAAAATTACATAAAAGTCCCATGATCAGTGGAGAAAAAGATCCTAATTGGTTATCAGAAGCTATAGCTATTGTCATAGAAAACAGACCTACCCCATCAAGGACCTTGAACATCATATGATTCATAGACTCTTAGAAAAAAATGCTCTTTCTTTGTCCATGAATTCTATTTGCTCTCACACCCACACAATTTATGACTGTGGGATGCGAAAATAGAATACTAGGTATTCTAGATATATTTCCAAAGATCTAAAGAGAGATACAATGTAAGATTACGGAGATTATCTCTTTTGGCTCACAAGTGATTCACGTTCAAAGTCATCCCCCAACCTATGGATATCTTGAGTATGGCTAATTTTTAGGCCATTTATAGCCCATTATTACATATCTAGAATTGAATTCTATCGCCTAATGTACATTGCAGGAGTCTTGCAATCCCCACTTTCCCATTAAGATTTCTTAGTGATTTTCATTTTCGTTATAATCTTTAATATTCGAAGTACCATTGGTTATCATTTAAGCTGTAACGATGCCTTTAATACAATTATCTGTGTTGTATAAAAGCTGTAAGCCATTGTTGAGCTTGTAGGCATTCCTAAACAGTGTTGGATATCGTTTTAATTAAATGTTTTAGGTATTCCCAAACAGTGTTGGATATCGTAATGATAAAATATTTCGTGATTTCAGTAATTGATTTCAGCATAACGTTAAATTCTTTATGTTGACATTCATAATTGATTTCGACATAACGTTAAATTCTTTGTGTTAACATTCAGAAAGAGTGTTGTAAATCGTGCTGTAGGCCATTGTTGAGATTGTAGGCATTCTTAAACAGTGTTGGATATCGTAATGATAAAATATTTCGTGATTTCAGTAATTGATTTCGGCATAACGTTAAATACTTTCTGTTGAAATTCATAATTGATTTCAGCATAACGTTAAATACTTTCTGTTGTCATTCAGAAAGAGTATTGTATATCGGGCTGTAGGCCATTGTTGAGATTGTAGGCATTCTTAAGCAGTGTTGGATATCGTGATTATGAAGTATTTCAATAATCAAATTCGTCATAACGTTAAATTCTTTCTGTTGAGTATCGTGAGTATTAAGTATTAGAGTGTTGTCACACTAATACAAAATGTCAAGCTAGGACTGTACCTCGTTAAGTTCTTTGGGATTTCGTCATTTAATGTGATGCAAAATGCTCCGTTTTAGTTAAGTGTGTATATCGAAATGATAGTGTTTCGGTCTTTCAATAAAGAGTAACGGTATAACGTCAAACCAATGGCCATGTTCATGGCCCATGGTAAGTGTGGTGTACTGTGAGTATTGAGTGTTGTAAGCATTCATAAACAGTATTGGGTATCGCTCATGACTAAGTGTTGTAAGGATTCAGTAACAAGTGTAGGACATCGTTAACAGTGTAACCAATTACTTGCCGGTGAATAGAGCATCGGTCTGTAGCTCCGGCTTGTTCTTCTTTTTGGCCCCCGACAGCAACTGCTTCAACTGGATGATGGCTCTGGCCGGATTCAGGTTCTTCGGACAGGTGTTGGTGCAGTTGAGGATGGTGTGGCAGCGATAGAGCTTCCAGGGGTCCTGCAGGAAGCACAGCCGCTGCTCGGTGGCCTCGTCACGGGAATCGATGACCCAGCGAAAGGCCTGCATGAGGACGGCCGGCCCCAGATACTTGTCACTATTCCACCAATAGGATGGGCACGAGGTCTGACAGCAGGCGCACAGGATGCACTCGTACAGGCCATCCAGTTTGTTGCGGTCCTCCAGGGACTGCAGATACTGCGCCTTGCCCATCTCGTTCTGGATGTTATTGCGCTGCAGCCAGGGCTGGATGGAGCGGTACTGCTCGTAGAACTGACTCAGGTCCGGCACCAGATCGCGCACCACATACAGATGCGGCAGCGGATAGATCCGGCACGATCCACTCGTGCTCTGGTCGATTGGCGTGACACAGGCCAGGGTGTTTGTGCCATCGATGTTCATGGCGCACGAGCCACAGATGCCCTCACGGCAGGATCGGCGGAAGGTCAACGTCTGGTCGACCTCGTTCTTGATCTTGATCAAAGCATCCAGCACCATGGCGCCGCACTGCGACAAATCGATGGCGTACGTCTGCATCTTGGGCTGCTCCCCGGGCTGCCAGCGGTAGATCTCAAAGTTCTTGATACGTTTCTCCTTGGTCTTGGGCGGTGCCGGTGGTCCGGCCACCTTCTTCTTCTCTGCCACGGCTGGTGGCAGCTTTGGGGGCTCCTTCGGTGGAGCTGGCCCCTTGGGTGGTGGCTTTTTATCGCCTCCGGCCGCTGCTGTTGCCACCGTAATGGGGTCTTCAGTTGACGGTACCATGGTCGGTGGTAGCGGCTGCGGCGGTAACGGCGGCGGTGGTGGTGTCTGACCTTTGGTGAGAATCGCCTGCCCGGCCTTCACATACTCCTGCTCATCGTCCGACACCCGAATCGATGGCTCGGGGCAAACAATGGACCGCACCAATTGAATTTTTGACCGAAATTTCAGCAAATGTGTCGGTCTGCGCACTAAAAACATCTGAAAACCCAACAAATTTAGCACAAATTTTTTTTTTTTTTTTTTTTTTTCGATTTTTTTTTACCGTTTTGTTTGTTTTTGAGCACACACACGAACTGTTTGTTCCGCTTTGATGTTCAGGAATATACTGAGATTTTGAATGAGTAGAGCTATGAAAACAAGTAACTATCAAATCAAGGACTACTACAAGTTGAATAAAAGAATATAAAATGGAACATATACTCTAGGATCAAATGTGGAGAACACTTTGAGTGGAAATGCTTAGAATTAAAATAAAGTATTGGAGCCATAATGATAATGATATGATGGCCTCTTGTTAATGGACCTTCAGTTCTTAAAGGGCACTGTCCCGTGTGAGATATCACATCAGGAAATAGAAACTTGTAGATGTAGAGAATTATCTGTGGTTTCGCTGAAGTGATCTGAGAATATAGAAGGAGATTTCAACATTTTGGGGCAGAAACAGGTCCTTGCTGGCCTAAACATACTGGAGTCTTCCACATTATACTACATATACATATTTTTGGTCAAAGAGCAATAGGCCATGGATACTTCCCGGAGAAGGCGGGACGGTCTTCCCCATTTTCCACTGTAGGATATCAACAGGCACGGGAGAATGTCCTACAACTATATTTACATCCTACTTATAGACAGATATGTTGAAAATCTTATTCGAATTGCAACACTTGAACTATTTGTAATCCCCATTTGCAAACGAATTTCTGGCATTTCCCCCGAAAAATTCTTCTTAAGAAAAGAATCAAGAATCAACAGCAAATCAATGTTTTGTCTGCTATTTCTGCACTTGTTGCAATTAAGTGGAGGCGAACATGCCGTACGGAGTGGCAAATGTTAATGCTCGTGTCTGCACCACAGACGAGACCCAAGACAACAAATAAACTTCAACAGATCTCTCTCTCTCTCTCTCCAAGCGCAGAGGAGTAGCGATCAAGGGGATGGGAGCTCCAGCTGGAATGGAAACCAACTGTGAAAACGGTCTCCAGAAGCAGAAGCAGAAGCAGAAGGGCACAAGAGTCTATAAATATGCCAAACGCAAATTCTGTTTCAAGGCAGTGCGGGAATGTTATGGATGTTTTCTTTAAATATAACAAGAACAAGAAAAAACATACCCCTCCCCCCACCCCAGCCAAAGAAACTTGTCAGCAATCAGCCGTCGTCGGGATCTACGCGAAAACTGTAAGAAAGAAAAGGAATGAGGGGGGGGGGGGGGGGGGGGGGCGGGCATGGGCATCCCCCCACTTACGAGGGTATTTTTACTCTAAAAAATATCCAAACTTGCCAAAAAAGAAACAAATCCAGCTAAACTTTGGCATTACCTCTCCGGCCTGCTGTGGGGTATAGTGGTTTTCATTTCGATTTCGAACAACACTCCATCGACATGACGTGGACGTGGACGTGACAGCCACAAATCAGATGAAAGCCTCAGCAGCAAGCCTTCAGGAGATTAACCAAAGCTGCGACAATGACGACGAGCATCTTGTTCTTGTTCTTGTTTCAGCAGATGCTTCTGCCCATTCCTAGCCATGCCATTCCATTCTTTTGGTGTGGAGCATGGAGCATGGAACAGCCCAACGAAAATAGCTGCAAAGAAGGAGCCAAAGAGACAATTAAAAGGCAATTCCAGCAATGCGCCTGTTTGCACCTGCCGTCCAGATATCACAGGCGACAAACGACATTGTCAACAATGAAAGAGAGAGAGAGAGAGAGAGAGAGAGAGACAGACAGAGAGAGAGCCATGCATGAGCATGGATGATGATAACACTGAACCGCAGGGTTTAGGTACTACTTATAGTGTATTCCATGGATCATTCAAGTACAACGATTCAGAAGCCCATTTCAATTGGTTTTCACATCAAAGATTTGTCAATTGATTTTATGGATAATTTAGTTTCATTGACATTCCTTTCAATTTTCCATCCCCGATTGGAAGGAACCTTTTCACATGGCAAGGTCTAAATTTTCCAGTAAGTTATATGGTATTTTATAAGTTTCCTACATATGTACATTGAGGAACTCATGGGCTGGCAGTAAGCGTGGCTCACAAATCTAAACCATCTGCATAGTTTTGACAATTTATCGAGCGCACAATCGATAACCAGCCGCAAAATATCGATTTGCTTCAAGTATTACAGGTCTTCTACAGCCAAATGAATGGATGTTCTTTGCTGTTTAGTGTTATTAAAAATAAATTCATCAGCCAAAGACAGACAGACGCACACGCGCTCTCAGAAAATAGTTGCATCAAATTATGTTATGGCTGCAGCACATTGCCAAGGTGTCGACGCTGCTGTTGACAATGTGGAGCAGCGGTTGGCTCCAGCTCCAGCTCCAGATCCAGTGCTGCCTGCAACAATTTGAGTGAGCTCTTAAGCCGCCGCTGACGTCTGGACAGGTGCCACCAGTTCAACCACAGGCAGGCAGGCAGGCAGGCAGGCAGGCATTTGTTGCTGGCACATTTCGTCATAGACGCGTGCTGGAATTAGCTTGGATTGTATGTGGATCCCTTGAAGACACGGTATGCCAGAGTAGAGAGGGGGGGACAACCTATGATCCAGACAATCAACGATCCAACAATCCCGGGGCGACAACTGTCCTTCCTGTTTTGCAGCCAGTAGTTAATTTGATTGCCACCAATCTGGGTGTGCAGCCGAGCAGCAGATATAAAGTCGCCAAGATTTATGGGTTTTAAATTTTCATTCATGTTGGGCTCTGTACGAATGAGTATCTGTCCGACTGATTGCAACTCTCCATCCAGAGTCCAGAGGCCCCAACAGCGGATGTACAAATCAATTGTCATTGTGATTGGGTACAGGGAAAATGCAGCGGGCCAGTGGAATATACTCGAATGCAATGAAAATGCCATTCGAAATTGGAAATTGCATTTTGATCCAACAATTATGTTGACTTCTCCGTTGTCTCTCTATCGTTTTATTGGTTCATCGATGGGTTTTTGGTAGTTTTTGTTGACTAAGAATACCTGAATCAATCAGATCCAACGCCTTTCTTAGCGGATGTAAGCCTTAGATCATGCAAAAAGGCTTCTCCTTCGACCAGATGCTCAACATTCACATCAACCGCTGCGTATAGTTTTTATTGATTTAATTATTTGTTTATGACTCTTTTATAGCTCTGAATTCAAAATTTCCTATCGTAATATTGATTACCATGCTATTTAAAGGTTTTACTAAGGTTCGAACCATTGGAAAAACTATCTCTGATTTTTAGGGATTTCTGTCTAAGAGAATTGTATCTTTATATTTGAATATACAGACCTTTTGGAATACATGGATACACTTATATACATAATTACAAATTTTTTAAGAATTTATAGATTATCTTACCTATTTTATGAGCAATATTTATAGATAAATATTTTATTTTAGGAATTTTAGAATCTTCAGGATTCTGGCGTCTGGTGCGATGGAAAGACGTGGGGAATGGGGCCTGTTCTCGCGTCGGTCCGATGCGGAGGCTCATCTCATCGAGATCACCCGCGTGGATGGCAGCCGTCGTGCTTTGTGGAAGGGGGGTGGAGAACCATAACCGGGAGCTCATATTCCTCTACTGGATGGCTAGGACTACTGGAGCGACTGGAGCACCGGGGACTTTGATCAAGACTGGCCAGAGCCGCAGCCTCGCTAAGGACGTGGCCTGCATCCCTCCCAGCTACGACAGACTGCCCGAATTAGCTGCTGCCGGTGTCCGGCAAGATTATCCGTGCCCAGGTGGAGCTCTCTCTCCCTATTCAGCTGTGTTCTAAAACGTTGCCTCTTATAGCTTCCTGGGCGAACTCGCCGAAGCCTCGAAGCGTCTGCTCTTCTGGACAGATGTCAGCAGCCATCAGGCCATCATTCGGGCCCGAGTCGATGGCAATGAGCATGTGGACCTGGAAGAAGTCACGACTCTGGCCTTAGACCAACAGTCCGATATCCCATGCGTATCGATGTTAGTAAGCAACCAATATTGGACACCTTTGGACACTTGTAATCTCCTGTTCCCCCTTTACAGAAAAATCCGTGCTTCCATGCACATCTCGCAGGTCTCTGCCTTCGGGAGATTTGTGTCGGACGATAAGATCGGACTGGAGAGGAGCGCAATCACACCTGTCTGCACAGTCGCACAAAGTGTTTCCACATCTGCATGGCCAGCGGGGTATGACACGCAGTATTCACGACGTATGCTCGTGCCAGATTCTGATGCTCTGATGCTACTGGAGGGCAAGGATAACTACGGCGTGTATCCGGCCAGAAAATTTTAAGTGGCGGGAGTAATGACATGAACAACGACTGTATATCCGCCTTCTAGCGCTGAGACGAAAGGACTGCCCGGCGGATTCAGCTGATAGTCAGCCGAGGACAGCGACAAGGCTCTGATCTGGGATGGTACCACCTGTGACAACTGTGACAATGTCCACGATGAGGTCGACTGCTGCAAGCGGCCAGAAGACTCTCAGTGTCCCATCAAAAAGGTGAGTGGAAAGACACGATATCTGCATAAATTCTTAAATTAACAATATCCTACTCGCGCTTCACACAGCTTTGCATATCGGCCTAGCAGATCAAATTGTATCAACTCAGCCCAAGCCCAAAACTGTTAATCTCCTTGATGGCAGTTAATCGTTCCAGTTCCAGGACAGTTCCAACGCAGACTCCGCTTAATGATGCGACCAATGATCTGTCTAGGCCCATCTGACCCATTTCCCTAAAACCTTTTTTTGTTTGACCATTTTCGCTAAAACCTCTTTTTACGCTAAATCCAATAAAAGCAAGTGTTTAAAATAAGCCAGTCAATTAGAAAATAGGTTCATTAATTGGATAAAATTATGTGGGCATGGCTAAATGTTCTATGTAGCTTATTATATTTGACGGAACATATTAAGCAATATGGTTTCAATGCTTGCCGGAGAACTATTAACCTATTAAGGGGGTAATCATTTTAGCGCAGTTCAGATGAAAGATTCGTGGGGTTTGGCAACTTAAAGGGAAGGATAGGATGGATCTATAAGAATTTACAATCGTTAATATATTCCGCCATTTACCTCGTGTAGTTGAACTATTTAAATATAGGGGGCTTAAGTGGGCTAAGCTCGGTTTTCCATCATACGAGTCGCTATATTGTTGTTGAGAAACCAAAATTGAGGCAAAAACAAGCAAAGCCAAGTATTTAATGTGCCAGTCAAGTAGAAAATTGATTGATTAATCGGATAAAATTATGTGGGCATGGTTGAAAGTTCTATCTAGCTAGTAATATTCCACGGAAGATCAAAAACGAGGAACATGTAAAAAAGGACTTTAATTCGTCAGTATATTTACGGTATATTTTGTAAATGAGATAGTATGTTTCGGTATATTTCTGAGGGTCGGACGGTCCGCGGTCACACTGCGTATAGAGCAAAAAAATAAAAAAAATAGAAACTGGAGATTGCAACAAAGTAGTATAATATAAATAAATAAAAATTTTAGAGCGGGAAAAAACGTTAAGCGAATTTCAAAAGCAAAGCTCCGCGAAGCATAAGTTGCAGGCGCAGGTGAGTTATTGCGTTGGCGGCCGGCGGCCCCGTCCAGGAACCGTTTTGAAACAGAGAACCCACGCTTAAGGATCATATTATATGGAGAAGAAGACCAAGGACACTCTGAGGAGATACAAAAAGTCCTCTCGTCACAATGCCACGCACACAAGCAGCGAGAGCAGCAGCACGGAATCGGAGAGCGGCAGCAGTTCGTTCAGCAGCACCGACAGCGAGACGGGGCATGCCGCCAGCAGTCATGGGGCTGTCCATCATGGTCATCCACATGGGCATCATCCACGCTCCGCGGAGCGTCATCATCGCAAGAAGAAAAGCAGCAGGCGGGCGGCCAGTTCCTCGGGAGATGAGCAGCACCAGCGTCGGAAGCGGGACAAGCGCGATCATGTCCAGAAAAAGCTGGTGGCCAAGCGGAATCACATCAAGCGAAAGTTGAAGGAGGCGCGACTCAAGAAGCGTGCCGCCGCCGCCCTGAGCGGCCATGTCCATCGGTCGCTGTCGCCGGCCACGCGCTCGAAGCTCAAGAAACTGGCGGAAAGGAAGCGTTTGCGTGCCGCCAGCAAGGAGCAGCGGGAGCGTGAGAAACTGCGGGCTGTGCAGCGGGATCGGGAACGGGATCATCATCGGCTGGGCAGCAGTCGATCGCCTCCGAGTTCTTCCACGACGACCACAACCAAGATCCGCATCCATCAGGATGTGGTGGGCAAGCGCCAGAAGAGTCCTGGCCTGGGGCCCAATGGTCCGGGCGGCAGTGGCGGCAGCGGCGGTCATCCCGGTCCCGGGTCGTCGCGTATGCACCACCAGCTGATGTCGCGCGAGAAGATCATCATTCAGACGCGGGCCCGCGGACGCACTGCCTCCCTGGAGCGTGAGCGAGAGCGCGAGCGTGAAAGAGAGCGCGAGAGAGAGCGTCATGATCTGTCGCTGCGCGAAAGGGATCGTCGGGATCGGGACAGGGAGCGAGAGCGAGCCGAGCGAGAGGCGGCCCGGGATAAGGAGCGCGCCGAGGCTCTGGCCCGTTGCCAGGAGCGCCAGCGGGAAAGAGAGCGTCTCGCACGGGAGAAACTGCGCCGCCAGGAGGAGGATGACGGCAAGCGGGGAGGCGGCGGCAGTGGTGGTGGTGGAATCAGTGGACGCGACCTAGACCTGCAGGCCTATGCCAGCCGGGAGCGTTCCCTCGATGCTGTGGAGCGAGAGCGAGGCGGCGGTCGCCATATTCGGGACAAGCGGGAGCTGGATCCGTACGATCGCGAACAGGAGTACATGGAGGAGCGGCATGGCCATGGCCTGATCGATGAGATGCGTCGCTATCGTCGCCGCGAACTGAGTCCCCTGGCCGAGCACTATGTGCCCCGCCTGCGGGATCCACGCGATCTCTACTCCGAGGAGGAGCGCGAAAGGTAAGAAGGCCATTCTTCTGTCTGTCATTCCTTAATCTCTTTTATCTCCAGGGCCTACAAACGGGCATTCATGGATGCGCGGTTCTCATCGCGCGAGCGCGAGGCCTGGATCGAAGCCCGAGAGCTGAGGGAGCGCGAACTCCAGGGCCGCGACTATCGGGAGCTGGTGGAGCCCGAGGAGGTCCTCTATCCGGACGAGCGGGAGCGTGTAATCCGCGATCGAGAGCGGGAACGTGAGCGGGAACGCAATCTCGAGAGGGAGCGCAATCTGGGGCCACCACGCGGCGAGTACCGGCCAGAGTGGGAGCGCGAATGGGATGACGATGGCAACAGTGCCGGCGGCGGCGGTAGTGGTACTCCCGGCCGTCCCAGCGGCTTCGTCGGCGGCCCCAAGCGCGGCAAGCCGCTGCCACATCCAGGCGCTGTTCCCCAGCAGGCGCCCCAGCAGCATCATTCCGCCTCCGAGCCCGACTGGGATGCGGATGAAAGGGAGCGCGAGCGGGAACGAGATCGAGAGAGAGAGCGCGAGCGCGAGCGGGAACGTGAACGCGAACGCGAACGAGATCCCCGTGATGACAGGCCGGACAATGGCAGCGGTGGGGCAGGTGGTGGCGGTGTGGTCATCATCAAAAACGAGCCCGCCTGGCTGGAGCACGATCAGCGGGAGAAGCCACGCTCCTGGCAGCAGCAGCAGTCCAACTCTGGCGGGGATTGGCGCGACAACGATGAGCCCTTTGGACGTAACAGTGGTGGTGGTGGTGGCGGCGGTTCCAACGATGCTCCACCGCCAGCCAACCATCCGCATCCCCCCTCACCCCACCATCATGTGCATCCACGTGGCGAACGCGGCTCCGGACGGGGCTTTCGACGCGGCGGCCACGGCCATGGGGACCATGGAGAGTCTCGTGGTGGTCCCGGCTACAGGTCGCATCCACCACCGCTGATGACGCTGCCCGTGCAGCCACCGGGCGGCTATCATGGAGGTGGCGGTAGTGGTGGCGGCTCGCGGGGCTTTCCGCACAAACGGATGCAGTATGGCGGCGGCGGACCCGGCTGTGAGCGCGGCGCCCCACCCGGCTCATCGTCGTTCCTCAAGAAGCACATCCATGTGCCGCTCGTGTCGCCCACACACCCCACGCCGCTGCTCCAATGCCAGCTGTCGGCACCGGGGGGCAAGCCGCCGGTGGGCAATGCCGCTGCCGCACAGGCCAGCGCTGTGGCGGCCGCCACAACAGCGGTCGCAGCGGCCAAGGCAGCCGCCCAGAGTGCCGCCAATGCCACCACCAATCCGGGCATTCTGGCCCAGGTGAGCGGCAAACTGGGCAGCGGCACAACGACCCACATCAAGCAGGAGGATGCCTCGGAGGACTCGGTGATGAGCACACCCAGTGTGGGCACACAGGACTCAGAGTCTCCCAGTGGTTCAGCGATTGGCAACGAGATGGTGGGGTGCAGCATCATCAAGCAGGAGCCGCGGCCGATCACACGAGAGCCAGAGGCGGAGGAGCTGAGCGAGATCAGTGACAGCGACGATGACATTCTCAACACAACGGAGATCAGCCTGGGGAGCTGTGCGGCACCTCTTGTGCGACCCAAGGACGAGCCGCAGCTGGACGCTGATCCATTGGCTGGCACACAGGAGCTCTCCACGGACACACTCTCGCCAAGCACAGCGGAGGAGATCAAGAGCGAGAGTCCATCCGCGGCGACGACAGCGGTTACGGGAATGGCAACAATGAATGGGGGCACTATCAGTGGCAATATCAAGGTGGAGGAGGTCGATGAGGTGCTGGACTTTGAGGAGATATCCGACGGTGAACTGGAGGAGGATGCCCGTCACAAAGGTGAGGATAGCCCCCCTTCCCCAAAGAAGGAGCCCTTGACTAATTTCTGAATCTCTGTGTAATCTCAGGCATTGGCGACGCCTTAGGCGTGGACTGGCAGGGCCTGATAGCCGAGACCAGGCAGCAGGCAGAGGAGCAATCGGCCCAGCAGCAGGGCGTGGACAGAGGGACCTCGGCCAAGCAGCGGTGGCAGCCGCATCGTTTGATTCTTGACATGGGCATATCGTTTGGAATGGCCGGTGAGCAGTATGCCCGTCGCGTCATGGAGGACGCCCGACAGCAGCTCATCCAGGAGAAGGAACAGCTCAGGCTGGCCGAGGAACAGGCCCTGCTGCAGCAGCAGCTGGCTGAGGAGCAGGCAGCCGATCCGGAGGATCTGCCCATTATCAAAAAGGAGGAGCCTGCCCTCAAGCGCGCCTCGCCGCTGCACGACTACCGCGACATTCTGGCCACCGATCAACTGGCGCCCATGGCCTGCGTTCAGCAGGGTCTACGCGGCCTTGCCGCCGAGCGCCAGCGTCTGATGGGCAATGTCTGCGGCCCGGGGAGTCGGGCGCTCTGCGCTCGCCAGGACCTACGCCTGCGACGGCAGCTGTGCGGCCTGCCCGCCCGCGAGTGCGAGTTTCCGCGCAATATGCCCGTGGTGGGCGAGGAGCTGCGGCATTTGGCCATGCAAATGTTCCAGCGCAGCCTCGACGTCAAATGAGATCCGATGCCCAGGGAGTGTCGCCGCGCCAGGCCACAGGCCACACCCACCTACCGACTGGATGTGAAAATCTATGCGGGGGACCAGCGCGAGCAGCAGCAGCAGCTGCACCGGAAACGCAAGTGGAAATGGACGAGGCAGGACGAGGACTAAACGGGGCAAAGCTTACAAAACAATTCGATATCGCGAACCCTATTCTATTATTCTATTTTAGTTGTAATTACAATTACATTGCTCTGGATCTACTCATATTTCTATTTATATTTCTATTATATTGTGGCTCCAATAATCTAAGTGTGATTATACAATGAATGAAATTATGTCTAGATATACGAGTAAATGGTAATAAAAACCGTCTACGGTCGGTAGACCTCTACCATCGACTATGAAACAGCCTTAAAACGGATCAATCTTTTTCATATTATAGATTTATTTCATAATTTTTGAATGGAGTTTTGAAAATAGAAATCAAAGAACTGGACATAGCAGTCCCATTTCCTCTCGTAAACTCTTTACGAGTATTCCTTCTATATTTCAATTCTATAGATCAATTGGTAAAAATGTGAAAGGAGACAACACCAGCAGACAGGCAACCCGGCAAAGTCATTTGCATTTGACCAACTCTGCTACTATTCATCGGGCCAAGATCTCACGTTGCCCGGCTATCAGACGGAGAAATGCACAGAGGCATCAATCCCTCAGATGATCCAAGAGCAGATGATTAGCTTGAATGAGTGAAAATACTCGTACAATAAATTATAAAATTGAACAAGCAATCGTAAAGAAATCGTGCCACAGTATTGTGTTGTAGTTCTGTTGCTACGAACGATGTGAACGAATGGGTTTTAGAAGCAGGTTTGAATCCGGATCCATGCCGATGAGCAAGCCCCTCAATGGTTCTGATAGTTGCACTTTTCCTGATGCCTAACCCATACCATATACCATCTGATTCATTGCGGGTACTTGAATTTGAGCGCATTAAAATGGTGGCATTCCGCCAATCAGCACTTTCGGATGAGCGGAATACTCTACCTGTGGCTCGTACTCAAATGCGAGAGGAAGGAACGAGTCTGATATAAATGCTCGATGGACATCTCTGAGAGTTGTCCATTACGTTCTGGCTTTGATCAAAAAAATAACTAAATCCCGACCTTCCATTCCTATGGTTCATATAAAATACATTCTAAACGAATTTTGTGAATTTTCTACAGTCTTTTAAAAGAAGAACTTTACTCTTGAGGCGGCTCCACAGTACTACAGATGTAGGAAAGTCTTGGCCTTTATAAAGAGCCTTTATAGCATACAGGTCTCTGTAAGATCCTACAATTATACAATAAAAAATCAATATGTGCACGCCGTACCAAAAGATCTTTTAGGGCAGTAGCTCTTAAAAATGTATAATTCTTTAAGAAGCCCAAATTTACAGACGGACGTTCCTAAAAGAAAAATCTCCTACTCCTATCATAGTTTTGATAGAGCCGAATACGGATAGATGCGACGGTTCATAGCAGCTTACAAAATTGGTAATTGTGTTCTAGAATAAATAGATAACAAAAAAATGAATTTAAAGCCAGATCCATAAAAGGAAACCTTTCAGGGAGCCCCAATTTACGGGAACTCTCTTACATAAAATTTGACTGCCTTTTGCAGAAGATCAACTTAGTTTTTGTAGTAAAAGATAGATGCACCTGTAGAGCTTGTGGATTGTACATAAAATGGTTTATCAAACTTTTTCTTAAGCCTCAACGGATCTCAATTAATTTTAAAAATAAGCACTTTTTTAATTCGAAATATATTTGAGAACATACAATGTGTGTAGTCCCCTGTTTAATATTAAGTTCGTTGATTTTTAGTGCCAAAGTCCAGCCATGGTATGTCTTATCGTGAGGACCCCAACTCCCGAAACCCTGTATGCCTCTCTGGTTAATCTAATTTCCTTTTAAATTCGTTTGATTTAAATAAATAAAACCAATTAATAAACTCTTTTTTAGATCCCTACTCCTGGAAATCTACACACTAGTTGTCTCTCTGGTTTATCCCATTAAATCCGTGTATTTTCTCACTTTAAAATATTGTAGATATTTTTTTTAAATGTTAGAACCCAGAACTCTATACTCTATCTATGCTCTCCTCTTAGTTTTTTATTCTCTACAAATAAATCACAAATTGAGGTGCGATTTTTTCAGTTGTTTGTTTATTTTAAGTTTGAATTATTATTTTTGTTAATTTCTATTTAGTGTTTCTGTGTTTTTTGTTTTTGTTTTTATATTTATTTTTGAAATATTCTGTTCTTTGATCTTTCTCTCTCTCTCTCTCTTTCTTTCGCTTTCCAGCTCTCTCTCTCTCTCTCTCTCTCTGTCTCTCTCTCTCTCTCTCTCTTTCACATTGATGTTAGTAGTTTTGTGTGAGTTTTTTTTCGTTTAATTTTATTAAATTGTTTAACACTACAAGTAATTTGTTTAAAAGGCCAAAGAACAAATATGTTTTTTGTTACTCTACGACATAGCATCTTTTTTCTTACTTTTACGCTCTGCTCTTGCTCCTTACGCTCCTCTCTCTCTCTCTCTCTCTCTCTCTCTCACCTGACTTCCTCCTGTACCTTTTGTCTAATTCTCAATTAAATTATGAGCTCTTTCTCTCTCTCATTCATTCTATTCTCTGTGTGTTTACGTCTTACTTAATTCCATACAATTTTTGTGGTTGCCTGTAATTCTTTTTTGTTTTTTTTAAGTTTCCATTTTTGAAACGTACAGTATTTTGTTTTTTTGTTTGTTGAATATATTTTTTAGTTTTTGTGGATTTTTATACATCGATAATTTTTTGTTTTTTTTCCATTTTTTTCCTTTGTTTTTTATATATATATATTTTTTTTTTTTGTTAATAATATTTTTGCATACAGCTATGCATAAGGGTGTGTGTGTGTGTGTCTGTGTGGAGGTAGGGAGAATCAACGCTTGGCATTCTCCTATCCATTTACTTCATTTCCTTTTATTGTTCTCCTCCAAAAATGCTCTCTTCCAGAGTGCATTTCTCAATGTTTCTCCTTTGTTTTTTTTTTTTTTTTGTTTTTTTTTATTTGTAAACACTTTTCAATAAATACACATACCACAAATCGTTCGAAAAGATTTTCATAATTCAAAATATTTGTGTGCATTTGTCTGTCGCCTGTTCCCCCCATTCAGGCAAATTTGTATACTTTTCTCTTATTTGTTTATATGCTTTAGTTTGCTGTCTCCTACTACTCCATCGGCTTTTGCTGCTGCTTTCGCTTTTTTTCTTTCTTTTTTTGCTGTCGCCGCTTTCCACCTGCTGCGGCGCCTTCGGCTTCGGCAACGGCTGCGACTGCGACTGCTGCTGGCAGCTGGCGATGTCAATTCAATGATGGTGTATGGCAGGGATCATGCCAATTGATCTCGATATTCGGCCACTTGGTCTGGAGGCAAGTCACCATCGGATTCGAGGCACACATCGACTTCAGATCCCCCTCTAGTAGAATGGCCGAACCGCAATAGTAGCGCACCTGCAAAAAAAGCCAAGGAAGATTATTAAAATGTAATCATTAAAACGACGGGGAGAAGCAAGACCCACCAAAGCCTAAATATATAGGATAGATCTTCCACATAGAAGATCAGTACCAAATATCAATATTTACATGATTCTATGCCATCATTATAATACACTTTTTGGCATACCTTAGCCCTTATAAAATTAGAGTCTTTAATTCTTTTGCTAGAACCGTAATTTCTCAGTCCAAAAATTGGAATATGCAGGAATTATATATAGTTGGAACTCTTAAAACAGGGAACAGGGGTCTTTCCAAATCTCTATAAACCCAGAGAACCCACGAAAACAATTCCAAACATATGTAACCCTATTGGAACCCTAATATAAAGCCTGGATTATAAAGAATGGAAGCCACATATACCAAATGCCTATAGATCCATCAGAACCTATGATTTTATGGCCGTCAGAATCCCTCAAACACCTATTAAGAATCCCATTCTTTATGCCTCCTTCCAATTATATATTTCCTGGTTCCCTAATGAATAATTATATTTTTTTATGTCCAAGACTTGATTAAAAACATCCTATTACAACCCAACTTGACCTTTTATTTGTCCTGGCATCAAACCGAGTTCTTCTGATAGACTGGGGGATCTTTGAAACTAAGGAATAACTAATGTAGAAATTTATTCTAAAGAATGCAGCTAACTATCGAATTAAAGTTAAAGAATTAAAGCTTAAGTTCGCCGTCTGGCAAATATTAAACTTTCAAATGCAAAATTCTTGTTTAAAAGTCAGGAAAAGTCGCATTAAATTCGGTTCTTGTTGTTTTTAAATTTTATTAATATGCGCTTAGGTCTATGAGTCGTCGTTTAAGGTGTCCTTGATAGAAATCTATGGATAACCGGCTAGGCTGCAGCCGTTTGACGAAACCTCCCCAAAATCATACAGACAAAAAATGCATTAAAAGTTGTTCGGGCCCCCAGTCTATCAGAGACGTCGACTATCGACTAAGTGTTATTGGATATATAGATGTTGAGAAGTTACATATAAACCGACCTTGTTGTTGCCATTGGAGCCTGGTATGCCGTTGTAGTGCATTAGCTCAAACGTATCGGGTGCGGAATGTCGCTCGCATGGAAAGAATTCCTCCATGAAAGCATTCAGCAATATGATGCCCAAATTCTCTGGATCCAAACGTTTCATCATGAGATTAACACTGTACGATGGCGGGGGGCGGTGGGGGGAACAAGATACAACAAGAACAAGAAAACAGAGCGCACAAAAATGATAAATGAGAGAGACATTTCAATGGGGTAGGGAGGAGGGTAAATACTTACTATCCCTGTTCACTGACAAGATTCAATTGGGCCAATACTTCACGTAGAAGGGACGAGGCTATGAAATTATTACCCTCCGGGTCGAACGACTTGAATATGCGACGACCGTGCTCTGAGGGCGTCTCCGGCGAGACGAGCTTCTTCTCGTGGCTGAATAGCACTGCGAAAGAGACCGGAAAAGAATCAAATGTATAGTTTCATTCCTCAGCGAAGGTTGCTCTTTCGTACCAGTTAAATGCGTGTCTGAACCCATCACCCAGACGGGATATCTGGGATTCTTGTAGAACGAACCCACTGTGCAGTAGCGCATCTGCTCCATTGTCGTTATGTATCCAATATCGCTCTGTTCGCAGATTCCCCTCAACTTTAAGCCGCCAACATCCTGTTCATGGTCCCACACATAGCCCACGGCACGACCCGTGAGCATTAGATTAATCATGGACTGGCCGCCATAGCCAAAGGTTCTGTGTATGATCGGCTCCGAGGTGTCGGATATGTCGGCGGCGACCAGCTCAATGCCCTTGGTAAGGAACACCGAGTACATGAAGAGCATCACGC